GTCTGCACCACATCAAATCAACTTTTAGAAAAGTTTTAAGTAGTGCGTTCCATCAAATACAGTACAGAGATTTCCAGTTTAAGAGGAGCGAGTCGTCCGCTGAGAAAGACCTTGACTTGCAGTTAAAGGCTCTGGAAAAAGGCAGAAAGTGGATCTTGAGTCAAGATTCTTTTTAAATCAAACTACTCTTTCATGAAGGACATTTTCACACTAGACTCATGATGTATATTAAAAAAACTTTTATATATTAAAATTTTGAACTGTAATTCCTGCAGTAATCTAACATTAAAGTAGTAAAGCATAATTTTTACTTGTTTTTTTAATTACTCACTTGAATTTATTGACTTTAATCTTGTAGATTCAATCCCAAAGCTGTATTTGTAGGATTTTGGGATTTCCATAGAAATAGAATTGCAGTTTGTGTGCCTCGACCAAACATCCGCAAAATATATGATGGACAAAGTCATTCTTGGCCACGCACCAAGGCCCTCCATTCACTGGCAGCAGATGTAATCATATTTACCCTGCCATAATACTGTGTGTGATCAGTTATATAACAGGAAGGTGGAAATGGTAGTGTAACACATGGAAAAAATAAGCCCGAAGACCTCCAGTCACTTAGAGACTGAGGGTTTTATTAGTGTGAAAAAATGCAGAAACAATCATCAAGTTAAATTAGGGCCGAACAACACAACATTAATCAACCGCTAAAGGATTAAACATTACATGTAACTTGGCATGTGATGACAACATCAACTAGCTTGCAACAATGAGGTTATACTGACATGCAGTAATTTATCACATTTCCATTACAATTTCCCAACAGGCCACAAACAACATCAAGCCAATTCCTCCCTCTTGACTGTGGACACCAATAAGCAGTGCTTTCTAACACAGGCCAGTTTATTACAGTAAACAGTACCGTAAAGTGGACTTTGGGTGAAGCCGTCTCCTTGGGCTATGAGCTGGTGTGGTGTGAAATTATTGTTAATGAAAATAATCATTAGTTACAACTTTAATTAGCAGCACCAAAGTGAATTTAAAGTTCCAGAAGAATTCATTATGCATAATGGCCCTGTCAGTGTGTTGTTATTATTATATTACGGGGTCATTATTATCAATATATTAATATGTTGCTGGGGTGCCAGTTGGCCAAGTCAGTGCCAGACAACTTCAATACTCAAAGTCTTGTCAGATCCAACAAAGGGTACAAAACCAGCCACAACTTCAAAATCTAAGTTGAAAGAATCTATGAAGAATAATTAGGCACGTAGCCAGGTGTGAGATCTTCTTATTTTCGAGTTTTTGTCTGTTACTGCATTTTTATTGTATTTTTTATTGCACTTATGTGTTTATTTGTTTTATAGAAGCCACCTGGGGACAAGCATTGCAAATTAAATGCTGTGATTTGTGGCATTATTCTGCTCAGTGAATATTCTATGCGTATGTCTCTGTCTCCATTAAAATAAACCAGAATAAATCACTAAACCAAAGCAAATCCAATTAGATTTTTTTTCTGCAAGAGCAAACAAAAAACTGAGAGCACATGACACACACCGACACTTCTGATTTCTCTAAATGAGGGTCTGAAATGCGTGATTACAGCTTTTTCTTTACAACTAAATGTGAAACCATGAGCTTCAAATTCAAAGTGAATGTATTACTCCAGGTCTTTTTTTTGGGTCACATTGAAGACTGCAGAATTGACTTATATATACTGTACATATAGTACATCAGTACATGCTGATCTGAGTGGAGAGCGTCACATGTTGAGACAGCAGACTCATGCTTGTTGTTATGAGAGGCTGCTGGAAGTTAACTCAAATGTAGAGAAGGGTCCAACTGCAGTCCTCCTGATGCCCCAGCTCTATGAACCAATGGGGTTTGAGGATGAGTAGTAGGTGTCCGTCCACAAAATCTGTTTCTGAACACATTTTAAGTGAGAAATAAGCAATCCAGTTGCTGAATCATTTATACTATAACGGTCAGAGGGGCCTGAGGAGAGAGGTCTGAGGTGCTGCAGTTGGACCATTTTGCAGATGTAAGGTGCTAGAGAAGGTAGACACCCTGAGGTTCACACAGAGCTATGAGGAGAAACATGGTGTTCTGGCAATTGTCGATGTCCAGAAGCACATGAAGACGCTGACGGAGCTGTTGGCCCGGGGGAAGGAGACCCAGAAGAGAAAGAAGGGGAAACAAAGACAGAAGATTAAATAAATCCCTGCTGCTTGTTTTTATTGTGGAGCCGGGCTAAAATGTTGAACATGACTCAACATTTGACATTCATCTTGTCAAAATAGTCGGAAATTCTTACTGCTTGTATTTCGAAACATGAAATTCAAGTGGAACTTCAGAGCCATGAATGATTAGTGAGTGGATGCAAAGTGAGCAAGAACAACGACTAAGGTCCAAAAAGCACTTGGAGAAAATAATTACAGATTTGTTCTTTTGTCAGCACACATCCAAGGACAAAATGTCATACTTTATTTTCAGAGTGTGCACTACAGTAATGGAGTCAAAATCAGGCCATATCCACGGTTTACAGATGAATAAAACACCAACCTTGTACTTTGTTAGACACATTTATCTTTTCTTTTAAATTGAAATATGTGTTATTTAGAAGATAATGACTTTATTCATGCATGTGAGATATGTTTATCTGTGAGAACAGTTTTATACTTTCACAGTATCTGCTGCACATTTAAAAACAAAAAATCTTTTTGGCTTTGAAAGCAAGCCCTGCAGTGCAGAAATTCTTGCAGTGTGTTAAGACGCACACACATAAAGGCACAATACCTGCAGCACGTTGCTCCATAAACACACCCACTGAGTGCAACTATAACCTGAAAGCTCCGCCGCAGCACAAAAATAACAAGCAACATGCGTGGAAGAGCTGATAGCAACAGCCGACATGATTGAACTCACGAATTAGAATGAGACTGCATGAATATAAACATGAGACAGCCATGGGAAACAAAATGGGGATGGGGGATCAAGAATTTCACTGAGTAATCTAAAGTGCTGGGCAATTTCTAACATCCACAAGCAAGGTTTAAAAAGACTGAAGGAAAACTAGTAAAATACAAAGTGTGAGGCAGTGAAACCACATGTTGAAACAAAGTCTACAAACACACACACACACACACACACACACACAGTAAGTAGATTAGTGAAAGAAAGAATGGATGGGTGGAGAAGAAGAAATGGGTCCTATATTTCACATGTCAATATAGACATACACATGATGTACACATCATCTACCTATCTGTCTGTCATATGTACAGATTACAAATTGTGGCAATGACAAATTTGCATTTTAATCCAGTTTAAAGGATTCCAAATTTGTTATGTTGACATCAAAAATCTAAATTCTCTCCATGTAACAAAGGCATCCTCAACACCAATGTGCCTCACTAAACCAAATTACAGAGTCTGAGTGTCTTTTGAAAACCTCCTGCTATGCCCAAAGCCCCGGTGGTGGCACAGCTCCAATTTCAACTCCATCAACAGGAATCAGATGGTTAAATTACTGTACTGCGAAGAGCCGTTCATCATCTTGTGACCATGAGACAGCTCAGCTCTTCATCACTGTTCAGGAGAAATTCAACTGGTTCCTTCCTTTTTTTTCCTCATCAGAGCTGAAACTCAAAGTCTACTGAGTGACTCAAATATTTAGTTTATACTGATTATTTTGTGTCAGATATATGTTGTTAAATGCAGCCAAATTCAGATTTACTTCCAGACAGTTACATACAACTTTACAACTTTTCAAATTTAATTTTCAATCACTAAGATGTAACTCGAGCATATCAATTCCAATGAATACGGTTGAATCGTCTCCAGGCTCTGGGGTACAAATATCACCATCTCCTCGCTGCTTTCTCCTCCTTTTTGATTCAGGCTGCAGCTTAAATCTCCAAACAGCATCTCAAACTGCACTTAGGCTAATTCCCCAGAGAGAAAGCCTGCATCACCCTCCCACTTTTCCTCCTCTAAGTTCTGTGCTCGTTTGCTTGCTCTTTCCCTCTCTCTGTCATCATTGCTAAAATAAATCAAAGGTACAATAATTCATGAGTGTTAAGAGTGTGTTTGCACGCGAGTGTTTGTGTATAGGGGAGTGAGGGTTTGATTTTTACAGAGCACGAGGAGTTTTGAGCAGATTTAACTCCCTTTTACAGAGGACGGAAAGAAAAAATGAAACATTTTTAGTCACACAGAAAAGAAAGCCTAAAAACCAAGTTACTGAAAATGAATTGATATAACTCAATTTGAATCAGGCTATTGCTCCCAAATAATGATTAGCAAGATATTTTACGAGATCCAAGAAAGAAATTGTTCCGAGTGAAGATGAAAGGGAAAAAAGATTTAGCAGCAGTTGACATGAATTTTGGAAATATCTATTAACAGCAAAGAACTGCAGTGAGAAACCACATCCAGCAATCAGTGTGGATTTAAAAATGTCCAATCTCCAAACTGGCTCAGAGGAGGATGAAAGTTAATGAGGTTTCTCGTCAACAAAGAGTGGAGTGCTGCAGCCCGACCTCTGGGCACCGTGAGTCACTCCGCTGCATTTGGTTTGGTGATTTCTTTCAAAGGCCTGGGCCACCAGCTGGGTCGTGTTTATCAAAAACTATCAAACGGGCCGCTCATGGATGTCGGCTTGAGGACAAGATGCTAACACACTCAGTCTCACTGGAGGTGCGTGTGATGCTGAAAGCAACTGTTGGTTTCTATACAGCAAGTATTTATTTTGTTTTGTTCAAAAGTAGAGCCGTCATGTTACCAAAATTCACAGCAGCATTATCATTTCAAATTATTTCCGGTTTGATATACTTTCAAAATGTAATGTAAAAAGGTTTATGTGTAGTTACTCTAATTGTCGCGTGACGCGTTATTAAAAATATACAGTAAAAAATGAAAATAAACAAATCTTGCAGCACTCCAGCACTTGAGGAACCCCTGGTTTACATGATAATATGCTTATTTTAAAAGACACTCACCAGCCAGCACTCCTGCCATGTAAAGCAGACTTATTCGTAAAATGCCATGGACCATCTCCAAAGGAACGCCAATCATCAGCTGCAGTAAAGCATTGAACCCCAGCTGCTCCAAACTAAGGAGAGAGCAGAGAAAGAGATCATGATTCAGATGACAGCATATGATCTTTGTTCCTCCTTCTGTGCATCATCTGCTACAACAAACCAGAGTTTAACTGAACCGGTCCTGCATAAATCAACCTGGGGGTAAGTGGAGCTTCGTGAACGTACCCAACGTGCATGAACATGTAGCTGAAGAAGCGCCACACTTGTGCACGGTGGCCAGGATGGTAGACCAGGGGGCTCTTCATGAAGTCAGGCTGATAGGTCTGCAGTACCCACTTGTTTAGCATGATGCCATAGCACATGAACACGATAATCTGCAACAGTCACAGAAATGACACCAAACTGTCAGTTCTTGCTGACATACCCATTTCGAGCTCTCTCCGCAGACTGCTGGTATAAAGGTGGAAATTGCCCTGCAAAACAAAACCCATTATGCTTTATGAAAGACACATGACATTGTCTTTACATTCTGTATTCCTCAGCTGACGCTTATTAGACTTGTGGAGACAATTACTGCCCGCAGAACCCCCCCCCCCCCCCCCCCACACACACACATCTGGTTCAATTCCATTAATTTGTTTCATAGAATAATGACTCATTGTCTCTGTGAATTAAAATGAACGTGAAACGTTATTATCACATCCTCATTGTCATTACAGACCATTCAATGCTATTTGGAGGCATTATGTGAGCACTTGGCTTTCTTTCTTCAGAATTATGATGATTTCAGGGGAAAAGGTTGAGGTTTTGTTAAGAGGCTGTAGGTTATTTTCGCTGCTTAATCCCCAACCATTCAACAGTGGTCTGTAAGAGCTTCTGTGTTAGTGCTTTTATTTTTTTTTCCAAATGAGCATAATAGGTCATTTAATGCCACTGTGGGGACTACGGTGTTCACTGACCTGGTTTCCAAGTTCCAAAATCAGTGTCTGGGAAAGAAAAAAACCCTGCATGCAGGGTGACTGAGGGTTTCAGCTTGGAGGAATGGCATTAACTGCACCCACTAAGCACCGACTCCCAAATGGGTTACCAGCTCATATCGAGCTCACAGTAAAAGCGTGTGATCAAAGGCAGAAAATCTTTTCTGTGGGTCTGAAGCGAACGACTGAGCCAACAGAACAGTCGAAAGTCAGTGTCGTGGGTTAGTAGTACATACTCAAGTAAAATACTGCAGGCCAAACGTGACAGGAATATTTGAAACAGGGGGCTGCATCAGTAGAATTTATATTCAGTTCAGTGTCTGACAAGTCGATGGCATCACCTCCTAAATCTCACCTGTACTATGGTGACAATGGCGATGAAGACAGGTGGGGGACACAGGCGGTTCTGGTGGAAGTACCAGCGTCGGTCCGTCTCACAGGGCAGGATCTCGTACGCCACATAGCGAACAAAACGCTTGTACAGACCCAGCCCCGTCTCATCCAGCAGGATCTCCCGCTGCAGTGTGCGGCGGCCATTGGCAATGGCTCGTCGGAAACTGCTGGAGCGCTTACTGTTCATCTGAGGACAAGGTGGAAAAACATGAATGTATTATTCTAAAGCGTTGAGTGCAATATCTTGTGGGCAACTGTATGGATTTTACAGAAACTCAGAGGAATGATGAGCATCTTATTCTAAATTTGACTGATGGGATATATGTCTACTTTTTATTTGTGGAGTTTCCATGATTATACCAGAAAACATTCTTACTTTATTTAAAGGAATATTGTTCAACATTTTAGGAAATATCCTTAATTGCTTTAATGCCAAGAAGTAGATGACATCACTCTCATGTCTGTACTCTAAATATGAAGCTACCACCAGCAACCAGTTAGATTAGCTTAGCATAAAGACTGAAAACCGCTGGGGAAGCAGCAAACCTGGCTCTGTCTGAAGGCAAGAAATTTGCCTATCAGCACCTCTAATGCTCACTAACTAACACATTAAAACTTCCTGAAGTGTTGACTTCACAGTTAGGTTGCCAGTTACTTGTCAAGAAATAGTCACAAAATTGGTGTATAGGCTAATCCTCTTAAAACCATAACACGCCCTTTTTACACTTCAATTATTGGACAGATAAAACATATGATACAGACATATAATGTGTTAATTAGTAAACTTGTATTGGTAGGCAGATTTTGTAGCCTTTGGATAGAGCCAGGTTAGCTGTTCCTATGACAAGCTACGTTAGCTAAACCAACTGCTAACTGTAGCCTTATATTTACCAGACAGACATGAAAGTTGTATTTATCTTCTCATCTATCTCTCAGCAAGAGAGCAAAAAAGCATATTTCCAAAAATGTCAAACTACAGATAAAGAATAAGATGAGAAACTGTTTTTTTAGCTGACAGGGAGAGTTTATTGTGACTTTATGGAATCAGCAGACAACTTCAATTCATTTACTATGTTTGTTTTTTGCTACTTGGTGACTTAATGTCTTTTTTGCAATAAACTTGTCTCGAGTTGTTTTATGAGCATTACTGTCAGCAGCTGGAGGACGAGGACACCTTACCAGGATGAGCAGATCTGATCTTCGCCGCTGCTGAATTTATCATTTTAGCAATTAAATCCATAACTTTCCTCACGCTAAGTGGATCAAACATCAGTAAAGGAGGATAGCTTCTTTTCATATAATCTGCGGGAAGCTCATCAGTGTGACTAATCATCCTAGATGGGGAGCCAACATTCATAAAGTACTGATTTCACAAGGGATAGCATTACAGTTTATCTGAGGTTTTACTTTTATGATCAAATAGCCAGGGGGAAAGGGTGGAGACATTGTCTTCTTTCCTGTTTTTCCGACATTGTTCCGAGGCTTCAAATAAACAGTGAAGTTTCTCTTTTGCTATTCATTCAACATGGTTCTTTTTTTGCACTTCTTGCACATTGCTACATTAAATGGGTACATTTTTGTATGACTTTGAACTTTATTTTTTTAACTTTCTCATGTGTGAGATCAAGTATCCACTCAAGTATCTATTATTTGCAGGAAAAATTAAGCCAAAAAGACACAAAATGATTAATTAGTAGGGGTGTCGAAAATAGATTTTTAGATATATCGCGATGCGGACTTTTATAGATGATTATGAATCGATTCACAAATGTCAATAATCAATTATCTAGAGGTTAATTGATAACATAATGTTGACGGAACGAAAAAGGTGGAACTTGAAAGTGCAGCTCCGGACCGTCTGTGTGTTGTACACAACGGATATGTGTTCTCATTGTTCAGCACAGACAGACAGCTGAATGAATGAATGACTGCCGCTACTAAACTTTCACATGATCAGTGAACTCAATGTAACTATCGTTAATGATTTTCACCCGCACGCTGTGCAGCACGGTAGCTCTTAGCTAGCTTCCTCTGCTCATTCTTCAAAGGACAGCTACATGACAGGAGGCAGTAGGTGAAAGCGAAGAAAAAATAAGCGCTACATGCACACAGTGCAGGTCACAGTGTGTCCGTTAATTAAAGTCTGTCTGTTGTTTCCCAACTATTGGGAAAGTGAAGGCGGTTAGCTCTTCAGACTGCGGTCTGGAAGCTGAGCAGGACGTTTTTTGGCTGCTAGTTCAAGTTCGGTTGTTGTCATTCATCCACATATTGAGTTCAAAAATGAACAAAATGCCATTTCTCAAGGCCCATGGTGCTCAGTACAAGATTACAATAATCAACTTAGACAAGACACAAACATGGAACTACAATAGACAAGACAAAAAGAGGAACAGACATGGTGCAGTGAACACGGTGTGGCTGGAGCATTGTAAAGTGTGTAGTTCAACCCCCATCTGACTCTATACTAATACTAACAGCAGCATCAGAAATAAAAATAGCAGCAGCAGAGGTCAATAATAATGCTGTAATAATGTAATAATGCTTTGCAATGTTAGCTACATTTATATGAAGTAACATAAATATCTGCATTTCATTACTACCTGCTTGTTTGGATTGTTGTTAAATATGTTGCTTTAAAAGTACCAAGTAGTCACACAGTGAGAAAAATACATCTTTATCCTGTTTGTTTTCACAATCGCATCGTAGCCCTTATAATCATAATGAGGTGCCTAGAAATTCCCACCCTTGATGTGATGTGATGATCATGATGCATCGAGATATTGAATTGAATCGAATTGAAGACCTGATAATTGTAATCGAATCGAATCATGAGACCAGTGAAGATGCACACCCCTATTAATTAGTAACAGCAACATTCTTTGTGACACAGAGATAAAACAAATGCTACTAAAAGCATTTTCAGAATTACTAAAAACAGTAATGTTTAATCAATCTAAAAATATTTAATATTAAAGCCATGATACATGTTTAAACAACTGGTGATCACTCTCTTGCCACAGGAGAGATGACAGAACTGCAACTGAATATTCATGACTGATAAGAAACTTAAATACTGTAATATATAAGTGGTTTTTGATTTGGACAGGAAGTAAGTGTGACTGCCACCAGGTCTGATTGCAGCTCAGACATCATAACAAATAGGCGGTTGAAGTGGTTTTGCCCTTGAAAAGCAAATCTTTGTTAAGAGGAACTATTCCAGCGTGTGTGTGTGTGTGTGTGTGTGTGTGTGTGTGTGTGTGTGTGTGTTCATGTTATCACAGACTCCAGGTTTGCTTACTGAGCAGGAGCTCTACAGCAGCCTGCAGGCCAGCCGGACCAACTCTTGATAAGTTCTTTAATAGAGGCTTAGGGTGAAAACTATCCTAATGCCACACTTTTGACAGCAGAGGCAGAGAAACATCAGGAAACAACACAGAGAGCTCTTTTTTGCCTCTGAAAATGTTGTCTTACTAGCTACCCACAGCAGGGATTGTTTAGATTCAATATCTGCATTTCCTTACAGTCGACAAGCGTGCTTTCTTCACAGGTAAGATTTACCTAATGGCTGAGACTATACGGCAATTCCAGATGCCTGAAGTCCCCGGTGTAGCTAAAACAATACAGCTCCTTTGAGGACAACCGGCTGACTAAGCACTTATCTCTAAATCAAAGTATGTGTTATGATGTGATGTGACACTTCATGAAATTTAGTTTCCAGGAAAAGCAGCGAAAGAAGGAACAGGCGTGTAGGCAGCAGTTGATATTGTTATCAGAATAAATCTACAACAGCTGACCTTATGTATAGGTTTCTCATAATAGTAACCTAAAACAATATGGCAGCTTCATATGAGGTGTACTGAAACCTCCAAACGGGGCCCACAGGAAGCACAGCCCACCATTTAAGTACACCATTCGTATTTCATTAGCCAGGTGCTGCTGCATGTAGATGTAGACACAGCAGGGGGCATGGTGAAAGAAATGGTGGGTCAATAGCTATAAAAGCTAATGAGCTAAATATACTGGAGGACAAAGGCTATAAATAAATGACCAAATAATGAAGAAGTAATGAACAGATTGTGCCACAAATGGAGCAGCTGCCTTTTTTCCCCCTTTTTTTAAGAAATTACTCAGAAAAACGGGGGGGGGGGGGGTGCTAATACCTTTTGGAAGTTAGCAGAGCAGGACGTGGTAACTACCCTAACTGTGGGTAATTATGACACCTGTACAATTATAGTTGTACAGTGAGGGTGTGGGGGGCCTGTTGCTCAGTGATAACCAGAACGATGTCGAGCTGGGCTGCTGGCTCTCCTGCAGATGGAGGGATGCATATTTAGTATGGAAATCAGGCCTGGAAAATGCAATTATGCTATACTTGAGGCAGGGAGTGAAAGCAGAAGAAGAGGAGAAGAGGGACATTAGGAGGCATGGAGGGGGAGATTGAGATGCCTGCGTGGGTGAGCTTGATTTGTAGAGTCTGGAGGCAACCAATGGAAAGTGGAGGTGAGATGTCGCCTGTCTTATTCTGAATATCTTAATATTGTTGAATGAAGTGTGTTTATATGAAGAAGACAGGCAGAATAGAGATAGTCTAAGGGATGTAAATATAATTATATTTTCTTCCTCTGTTGGCTTTGTCCTCTAAATAAAGTGTCTGTTTCTGAGTTTATTTCATCAGTGCTTGGCTCTGTGACAACAACTGCTGCCTCTCTCCACCTTGCACTGTATTCTCTCCCATTCATGCTGCCTCTGTGAAAATTTGTTCCCAGGAGACGCGACTAAGCATAGCTGTCACTCCGCTTCGCCTTCTGTGACGTGGAGGACTGCCGCCTCTAAAGTGAGCATTAGAAGCCTTTTGAAGTGACGACAGCAGAGAGATGGCGAACACACAAGAAGGCACACGCGAGCACCCAAAACCTGAGAGATAACGCACTGAGAGGAGCGGCGGAGCAAGGTGCACAGAAAATTACATGACATCACATAAAACGTCAAAGGGGGAAAACCATTGGCTTATGCTTCGGCAACGGTGAAAGTTCCCTGACGAGGCAACGTCTGCCAGGGAATAATTGATGTTGAGGCTAAGAGCACAAAGATAAAGATAGTATTCCCCTTTGGGGACGGCTGAATGGGCCAAACTGACAGCAGTGTGTGTGTGTCAAACAGCAAGGGTCCATCCTCCTCTTGGTAGCTGCGTGTTGCCTACTGTACATGCTGCTCTCAGCTCTAGTCAATTGTCCTTGATGGATTAATTAGCCACACCACATGGTCAATACCTCACAGCTCAATACTAATTAGTAATAACAATTAAAAATGCCCATTCAGGCACTGCAGATACAAAAAAAAACCCATAAATCATTCTGATTTTGCTCAGGGTTTACGGTGGTGACCATCTTTCACTCATAATTGTTGACATACACACAAAAAATAAATCTTTATCAGATAAATAATTTATCGTTACGAGAATGTTAGAAGGCGATGCCAATTACTGAGCGTGCTGATTCACCCCCACCAGACTTACAGTTTCAGTGTATCCATTTACCATCTGAACTATCCTTCAGAAGACCAAAATCCCCCTCTCCCTTGCTCTGGCACATACACTTGCGCAAACTCACAGCAGAATCTAAACCACTGCGGATCTTAGCCTTGCTGATTCTACCCTGACCCAGATACACAGTTTCTTTCTTGCCCAAATCCTTTTAAAATGAGTCCACCTTTTCTTCCCCTCAGCAGTTTGCGGCCACAGCCTTCCTTCATGCTTTAATCATTGCGGTGCTAAAACTCGGGTGGGGAAAAACAAACAAACCTTGACTCCAGGACACTTAAGCAAAGTGCATCACTTTTAGCCAGCAACTCATCAAAAACAGAAAGCCTGACTTGGAGTTTGTTATAGGATGTCCCTGGAGACAGATGCACTATGGGCACATACTGTGACTTCAAATGACATGAAAACTTTAAAATATTGTGTCTCTTGACTGGGACTATAACTGAAGTTTATATCTGCTCTCTTGCATACAAAACTGCTTCAAATGTGACAAAAGACTCACCCAGTTTAAAGCAGAACATTTGAATATGTACTCCATAAGCGTTTCTCTAAATCTACCCCCCGAGGGAACAGAAAATCTAAGTGCAACATTTGGGCAGAAGGGTAAAAAAATGAGGCCCATAGCAGCAACAGTCCTAAAATCCTCCAACCTTAACAAAGACAATACCCTGCTATAATCTTTAAAATACACCCGCTACCCGTGTAATTAACCATACCAGCCATTTTGGATCTCCGTCGAACATTAGCCAAATTACCACCCGAAGGAAAACAATGACACACTTCTTCAATTACACAGCTGGTACGTGATAGCATCAGAGGACTCTCTTTACAGAAATCAATATGTGCAATTGCACACAGGAATATATCCGACTTCAGGCTGGCCTGGTTTTACCCTCAATTCATTACCAGATGCTCGTCTATCACAGAATCGTCCCCTCAAAGCCCTACAAAGTGTGAACATTGACACCTTGGGCGTCTCTCAGCCTCCTGCATCGACAAAAATGTCTGTGTGTAATTGTGCGTAAACGTGTCACCGCGTGTAAACTGTGTGCTTTTTGTCTTGCTGTGTGGGATTTTGTGGCTTGGTAGTTTTCTATGCACCTCAACTCTATGTGAGTGCATATTTCAGAGTGAGTGTGTGTGTGCGTGGATGTGTGTGTGTATGGTTTCCCAAGAGAGGTTTTAGCAGAGTGTTACTTATTCACCCCTCTGGCTGAACTGATGGAGTTTTCTGGCAAAAGATGCCCTGCATGAAAGATGGGTTGAACATGAACGATGTCTTGTATTTTCACACACACACACACAAATACACACCAGAGAAGCTGTTGCCCAATGGTGCGATTCAAACATTTACACCCACTGAGGTCGAGAGAAGCAGCAAGGATTCACGGCTGCACTGAGTGAATGTAGAACAAATCAGGAAAATGTTGAACACTCCCGTTAGAGACGCAACTGACAGAAATCGCAACAGCTTGTGGGCTGAAATCCTCAAAAAGACATGGACTGAGTGCACACACACACAAATTCTGCACGTTGCCATGTCCATTTTAATACGGTGCAGGGGAGTTCCATCTTCCATCGAGGCTGGACCACAAATCAATAGAGATACCAGACTTCAGGCACTGGCTATGATATAATGACAGCAATGAACTGTCCAAATCAAAACAAGACTATCATCTGTCACACACTGTGGAGTGCTACTTATAAATCTGCCTCAGGTACAGAGACGTGAAAGGACAAAAAGCAGGGAACATGGCCTTGAGAGAGTGAAGAAAGGAAATAAAGAAAAAGAGGAAACCAGAAAAGACTTAGGTGAAAACAATAAAGTCAGAGAGCAGCAGAGAGAAAGGAGAGGAGGAGAGAAAGAAGGCCGGAAGGTATTCGTTGATGACCTTGTTGAAAATGCCACGCTACATGCGGCACTCTCCGAGAGGCAAAATCAAAATTCAAATATCCTCTAAATTAGTCAGCAAATCTGTCCTGTCAGCTCTCATGTGTATGAATGAGAGCCTGTCTGAGTTTGAGAGTGCGTGTATATCAGCGAGAGTGGAGTGGTGAGACAGACAGAGAGGAAGTGGGTGGCTGCATTAATTAATAATAAAATGTTTGTGTATATGCAAATTCTATGCATGCACAGAACGTAGTGGATATGGTCTGTGTGAGTGTTTGCGTGTGCGTATTAGACAAATCTTTAAAAATCAGACCTGCGGGTCGATAGCTGTGTGGGGCTGGGCATTCTCAAATTACCTCAGATTACTGCCTGCTACTACCAATGCTGGGCTAATCGAAGGCAATTTGCATTTGGCTGATGGGCAATTTTAAAAGTGTCTCCCTGATGCCGTCAGAGGCGAGGAAGTTTTTTTTTTCCCAACCTAACATATGCTCACAAGGAGTGTAGAATGAAAGCGAAGGAAATGAGATCTGAGGGTTCAAGGAGGCAGGTTACAAAATATTACATGGTTTGAGGAAGGGAGGGTTGAAGATGCACTGATCAAAAAAAATAACAACACTTCAAGAATGGCAGAGGAAGATAGATGTACACTTCCAAGAAAAAGGACTGATGTAAAGGAGAGGTTGCACTGTGGGAGCAGCACCTCTACACTGATTTCTCACAGACTCCAGAACTGGGACCTGCTCCAAATTGAGGGGATTTTTGTGGCCTTCATTACAAACCATGGGCAGCACAACACAAGTAAAATAAAAAAGACAGATAAATAGAGACAGAGAGAAAGAAAGTATGGGGGAGATGAGCTTAAGGAAGTGAAAATATGCCAGGAACAGGATTTGCACTGCCCTGAATTAATATCGGGTGCCTACACCTGTACGGTGCGAGGAGCCGAAGGCAGGTGCTCATCTACATGCTCAGAGAGAATCATCATCATGAATGTCTAATAAGAGCACAATGGTAAATACTGATAGGTGAAGCGGCACGGGATATAGAAAAAGAAAAGGCAGCGAATGAAGAGCCTTAGAAAATCTTAGAGGCTTCCACATATGTAGGAGTTAAGAGAGTATAATAGCACACAAACTGCTCACATATCAGCATATAAAGCATATTCTTGTATTCATCAGTCTTGCTGCTGTTACACTATTTAATAAACTAATTTCTTCAGGATATAACTGTATTTGAGTGTATTAGTTGTAAAATGTGCTGCTTTAATACTGCGGCTGTGTAGGCTTGGTGTGGGTGTTTTCTAGTACTTTGCAGTGCGCTTGTGAGGTTAAGTGTCTGGATTTACCGACACATTAACTGGAAAGATTGATCCTCCTTTTGCAGGACAACGACCTGAATGGTCGAGTCAATTTTCGCCACGGCGGAGCTCGCTGGCTCTGTCTGAATCAATTCTGTAACCTTTCTGAAATCCAACAAAAGTGGGTGTATGTGTGGAAACGTCTGTGCTGCGGGACATGAAATGCCTCATGCCACTCGCTCTGCATTACGATCTGTATCTGGGTGTGTGCATCTGGCTTCCACTCACCAGCTCGATGAGCTCCTGGTAGCACACCTGCCCCTCTTCATTGCTCTGGACCAGCGCTAACAGCATGTCCAGCTTGGACGGGTCCAGCTGCAGCTCATGGTGCTCCACCAAGCTGGTGAAGTTCTCCACTGCGATGAAACCGGTGTTTTCTGGGTCCAGCTGGAAAAACAACAGCCCATTCTCAGACGACTGGGATAAAAGTGGCATTGCTGAAAACAGTTGTATTGACAATGCTGTGTCTATTATGCATCCTGATTTCTTAATAATATGCAGCACTGCAGAAATCTGTCAGATTGCCCTGAGGGAGAATGCAACCGAGACATACACAGAGAGATTCAATAGATACTCAAAAAGACAAATGAGAGCCACTGGGCTCAGACAGTGACACCGGTATTAATTAAGCAGTGTTGCCTCTATGATGCCTGTGAAAGAATTAGACCCGCCTTAAGAAAAGGCCCCATTCAACCTCATTAAAGGAGTAGGTCTGTCAAAGCAAACAGCAGGATGGTTGTTGTTGTTGTGAGCAGCGAGAGAAGACAGGCGGGCATGTCATTCTAATAGGCAGTGACCTGCAGTTTCCCTGAAAAAAACCCAAAACAATTCCCTCAGCATTAAATTAATTTTCAGTCTTTGTTTCTGAGTGGATGCTTCATTTGACTGTGTGAGTCCGTTCTTGGTCACATTAGCAGCTTGTAGTCAGTGTGGTTTTTCTAATCGCCACTCACTCACTGAGACCCACAGCCCCATGGGTTATTACTGCTGATGTCTGTATGCCAGCGCTGCTCCTCGTAATTGATTTAAGCAAGAGAGCGTCATAAAAATGGCTGAGAGTGGTTTTCTAAAATAGCACCCGGTTAAAAATGGCTTGTAAAGTATAGGGTGTGTATCTATGCTTGGTTTAAGTAATGTGGGTTTTTTGGGGTAGCAGCTTCACTTACTTATCACTTGATTTTCTTCCCTTACATTCTCTTTCTCTTAAATGCATTCAATTGCTCTGCAATGGAGCGTTGATTTCTCATGCTAGCTTTCCTTAGTACATCGGATTGTGTTCGTGAAAATGTGCCTGAGGACAAACTGGAGCAGTACAAAAAGACCACATGGGAAGAGCCCTTGCTGCTTTTCATTTTACTGTTTCCTGAATGCTAACACAGGCTCATTAGGTTTCAGATAGTAAACCAACAGCCTCTTGTTGCTCCAGGGAGGGAGTGAGCTTTCAGATGTTGCGTCAGTGTGGAGTCAGTCATGCTGCATCATTGTTGCCCATGTCACATCAAGTCCATGAGAAGGATCCCGTCTAGGCCGCCTTAGTCTGGACCTAGTCTGCTCTGACATGGTTAGACGAAGGCATTTTATCGGCTGCATGAGGGGAGCGGCATTATACTGCGCTACACTGTGTCAGTCTCTACTGCAGGAGGTTCAAAGCTTAAAGCTCTACTGCTCAACTAAGAAGCAAAGAAGATCAATCAGGGAATCCATTGGAGTGAGAGTTTGTGCGTCTCTCTCTGAACATGATTAGTTTATGTGCTTTGCTTCTCCCTACACTGTTTCCAGGGTGTTTTACAGCCATTTAGTTGAATTTAAGCAAACTTATGTATTTATTCACCTGGGACAGCACAGTGGAGGCAGGAACTAATGGGTTAGTTTTGATGATGCTTGACTCAGAATGAGTGTTTTCCAACTGCTGGTTGATACAGTGAAGGGATTATGTTATGATACTTTTACAATACTCACATGCACACTAACATTACTCAACAGCAGGAAAAAGAACAGCTTTTAACCAATATTAACTAAGATTCTGCACTGGGACTGCACATTGTTTAAAATCCATACAGTACTTGACAATCCCCCTCTTGGTCATTGTCCCACAAGCATCTCAGTTTAACCTCAAAACTCCTGAGCATGACAGCCAGCAGTGTCAAGGCAGTCTTGGACTCCCATAAAACTAAATTTGTGAGATAAACCAAGATGGGAAAGAAAACGAGGCCCAGGTCTATTTTTAGATAATCCCCTTAACTGTGTGTTGCATGGACGTTTGTTAAAACACGGCCCTGTTCCCCCTATGAGGCTTGCTGAGCAAAATGGTGCAGATATGGACAGCGATTGTGATGTGTAATGTACCAGGATGACATGTGGGGAATACAGGAGGGAGAGAAAGCACCAAAAAAAGACAGCAGAGAGGCAAGAGGTGGAAAATGGGTGGGGGGTCAGTCGTTTGATGAAATGAAAGAAATGAAAAATGATGAAGTTAAAGGAACAGCAGAGGGAGGAGAGAGGCGAGAACAACAGAGATGAGAGAGAAATGAAACTGAGACGCACAGAGAATAAAAATGCTTTGCCAGTCTCTGTTATTCTGTGCATTTGCCTAACCCAGCAGTCTGGCAGTGAGTCCTCTTCTTCTCTTTCCTATAAGAGGGCTGTGACACACTCCAGTGCTCTGCATTCGCTTGCCACAGACTGGAGATAGATCAGATTCTAATGTGCTCCTGGCTCAGCCCAGGCTGACAGGGGGAACAGAGAGCTACGCTGGGGACGTCTGATTACTGTCAGCCTCCATATGTCAGCACATCACTACACATACAGCGGCAGCACAGACAGAGGCACACTGTATATGGCTGCGCACATTTACGCAAACCAAGTGTTGACGCTGAGCTGTCATACTGCACAAATACTGTTCCCTTCGTAGTGTGACCTTATTCTGGAAGAATGTTACACAGGAGACGCTGTCTGCCGAGGATTCCAGGAGGCGGAGGATTGGTTCTTGTAGCCAATTAGGGTTATCAATTACTCTAAGGTACTCTGAGATGAATAAGTGTTGGCAAGGCTGGTGGCATGCACGAACAAGGGGCGTGAGACCGAGAGAGGAAAGGGTTGGAAGAAGGAGGGGAAAAAGCGCTGTGAATAAAGCAGTTATTGAAGCGATCCAACACTGGTGAGGGCGACACTTTGACAAGCTGCATGCGTTGCCATGGTTACCAATCGCCTGTGTGTCATCCCTTTCTTGCACCCCCCCACCCGACATATTGGCGGTCGAGAGGCAAAGGAAAGACACACAAGGGGGGAGAGGAAGAGGAGATGAAAGGAGGGAAGGGTACAGAGTGGAAGGAAGAAACAGAATACAGGAGGGAAAGAGACCAGCAAGGTAAAAATAAGGTGGTAATAAGACAAAGGCACAGTTTAGATGTGCAGGGAGGCGGGTCGGGTAATTATGGATGGAGGGTGGAGGTGTTAAGGTGGAGAGCAACTGAACCGAGCAAGTGGGAGGAGATGGACAAGACACGGGCCGAAAATGTATACACGAGCACGAGAAGGAGGGCAAAGAGGAATGGAATGCTGACTGCAAGGAACTTATCTCAGCGTTAACCCCCGGGACCTCTATTACCTTCAGCGCAGCGACTCCAACTGACCCCAGCCCACTACGACTTATCAGTCTGTTCCACAGGGGCTCACACCTCCGGCCTGGGTACAAACCTGAAAACCCAGCCATGATACAAGTACAACCAGTGGGCTGTGACACAGCCAGTCCTATCGTCCCACCTGAATGACGAGGCTTCTCAAATGCAAAGATTTTTTGTTTTCTTTGTCTTCTGTAGTAAATGGAATTTCTTTGGGTTTTGGACTATTGATTTTTTTGATTTATTGAAATTTCTGAATTTATTGAAATTAATGACATTTTTAAGATGTCATCACCTGGAAACTGTGCTGTGCATTTTTCACAACTTTCTGACACAATATTGACTAATGATTAATCAAGTAGTCTTAAATCTTCAAATTAGGATTTACTTTGAATAGTGCTCACAAGGCTCCAGCTGACTTGAAGAACCCATGTTTGTACACAGCTCTGTATTAATTACCACCTTGTCAGATATGTTGAAATTAAAGTATTTTGGTCTATATAAACAATTAGACACACCAACTGAAAGACAACAAAAAGCATCGACTTAGTACACCTAAAAGTTGAAAGGCTGATTCTAGCTTCTGAATGAACAATAATGACTCTTTGGAAGATGGTGATTATAACTTCCATTAGGAGGGAAAACAGCACCAGCACTCACACAATGCTGACCCAGTGGCGCAGAGCCAATAATACAGACTTCTCTGGTCTCTGTGAACCAGACTGTCAAGCTTCAACAGGGCTGTGTATCTGAAGAGGGAAGTGGCATTTACAGGGCACAGCATATTTGCATGGCATCAGATAAAACCCCTTTGAACTGTCTCTGCTGCCCTCAGGACTCACTGGTGTTCACCAACAACTGGGCCACTGACTCTGTAATTATCACAATGCACGCTCTGCCCTGCTTTTTGCACTCACACTACCACTGTGGCACTGTGATGTGATGGCTCTAAGATTCAAACCACTCTCTCCTCAAGTGGAAACCACTGAAGAGAGATATACAAAGAATTTTCCTTGACGCGATCTACATTTCCTGGCGTTTAAACACAGCACAAACAGCCAGAGGCATTTTCAAATACAGCTCAATGCAAATTAGCATCAGAGAATGATGAAAGGGGGGGACAGCATTTGAGAGCCTTATTCTCTCTACTTGACATAAATATGTCAGAATAGTATTCAGAACCCCAATCCCTTATGGGATGGATATAAATACGCCACATAACAACTGAATGACACATGGGGAGATATTCACCAACTAATCATAGCATGTTTTAGTGGCTGAGTGCTGCCGACCATCAAGTCGCCTTATCAGCGGTGCTGAAATAGAAAGACTATCAGAGAAACTTTGTGCATGCTCCCATCATGAGCATATGTGGGAGCCTGCATAGGCCAGAAATAGCCTGAGCTCAGCATTGCAACTGCAGACAAAGACTAATAAACTCTCTCATGTTGTCATTGTTGCTTTCTCTTTCTCTTCCCCTGCAGCATTTTCATGCGGTTCAGTGTGACAGAGCTATATGGCAAAGTCCCCTCTCCTTTAGACATTCACTGCCCAAATAAATATAAACTAAGCATGTTCAGTTTGCTTTTGTGGTAAAACATCCCATACTGATTCAAGAATACTGCAGGAAAGCCCAAAAGCATTACACTTTCCTACCTTTAACATCTAATGTGTGTTTGACTGGAGGAAATGTTGGGATAGCGGTACCTTAAATCTAAATGTTAATAAAAACGTGCAAGGTTTCAGGTTTAAAACCCTAAACTATGAAAAAGCAGTCACAGTGACTGAGTACAAGTAAATCTAACATGCCCTTGAGCAAGGCACTTGACCTCCAGGTGCTCTTGTGGATTTGCTTAGAGGCAGACCTGCAAAAAAAAAACATGAGGCATGCTCTGCAAAACATTCTCCTGGATAAGGATGAGAAAGAAAGTGCCCAATGTTTAGGCGGGCAGCAGGCTTTGTTAAAAACAAGCTTGCATGTTCGCAGTCCAAAAGCTGTTGGCAGATATCACTTTATTCTAGTTTAATTAAAGAGACCTTTTCCAAATCAAAGTCCGGTGCATGGAGTCCCAAAAGTGGAAAGAGCCTGTCGTCAGTCTATGTGAGTGATTTGGTCTAGACTTGAGCTTAATAGGACCGCAGCCTGCTCAACTGTGGCAGTGCAAACAGTCTATATGAACATACTGGCACATGCAGAGTAAACCCCACAATCAATAAAACAACCAGCTGTGTACAGTGAGAAAATACTGGCTCCATCTCCAGCCCAAGGACCTGCTAAATCCAAAATGGATATTGATACAGATGAATCAGCCTCTTTGATAGCGCATTAAAATGTGTCTATGAAGAAGTGTGTGCTGTTGAGGTATCACTAAGTAGTTGTTATCACAGAAGGGCTTATACAGTAAATGACTCACCAGTGTGACCACAGAGCATCTTCTTAGTCAACCCACAAGGGCTTCCTCCACTTGTTATAAAAAAACACCCCACACACACACATTCATAAAAATGCAACACGTGACCACGGACACACACAAACACACATTTCTCCCAAAGGCTCTTGAGTCTGTTGATCAATGTGTTGCTGATGGGCCGCTCGTGACCCCATAAACTCTGCAGCAGATAATCGATTTCTCCCTCTTGGACAGAATGATTGCCCAATCTATCTGTCAGTCAGCCCAAACCCCAATAGACCAGTTCATCATCAAAAAAACACGAGACACATTTAGAAAGGCTAGAGTTAAATACAAGACATGAAATAGAGCTGGAAGCACTTCAGGAAGCACTAGCCAAATATACATGTGCTTTAAATCCATTTTGACTTGTTACTTTTGGAGATGGTACAGCCAAAGCTTAACTCAAACATAGATCTGACTGGACAGAAAAGCAAATAGCAGTTTGGGCAGAGGAAACCAGATGTCATGAGAAACATTTTTCGCTTGCCTAAATATGGCCACTAACACTGTCTTTTCAACAGCAGGGCTGAAAAAGAAGGAAAAGATTTAAAGCCAAATAACAGCTTCTTCTTCTAAGATCTGGACTTTACAGGAACTGCGTCCTTGCTCAACCCTTGGGAATGAAAATCGTAATAAATCTTGCAATCTTTGTTTCTTGGGACCCTGAGATGATAAGACTGGGCATGTGGTTAACACAGAAGAAACGAGGAAAATCACACATCCATGCACAGACACCGTGATTGCTGCAAACACTAATACAGCAGCTATAACACACTATCTTGGGATCTTTGCTTCATTTTTCAAATGTAAAATGCACCAATCAATCCATCTATACATCCATTCATACAGAAACCCATCCATCTATTTGCACACTCCCCCCCTCCCTTCCCATAAACCATGACATGATGCCCCCCCCCATTCCCGCTGTGGCTCATGATCTGACCTCACATTCTCGAGGCCCACATGGCTCCATGATGCTTGCATCCGTCGTGTTGTCTCACGCTCTCATGTTTGCCCGTGCAAAAAAACAGCCCCTGCTATCAATCCTCACATCAGCTCTCACCCCCAGCCTCCACGTCTCAATCCCTGGGTAGACGGCGAGGTGGCCAGGAGCCTGTAACCATAGAAACCTCTGCCGCTGCTTGCTTCGCTCGCTTACCTGCTCTTGTATGAGCTGAAACAGGGAGCTTCTATCCATATACTGGCCAGGGAGGTGAGAGGAGCCGCCGAGGACAAGGGCATAGGGAGGAGCAAGAGAGGAGTGGCGGTGGTGTTGGTAAGGATGGGATAAGGTGGAGGGGGATTTGGATGAGGTAGCAGCTGGTTCCTAAATTGTAGCGTCAGGCCCCTTTGTAGCTGCAGAGTGCCCCCTTTGATGATGGTGAAAGCCTGGTGAGCTCTGTCCTTGGTTTGCCTTGCTGGTGGTGTCGCTGGAGTTAACAACCGGTGCTGTGTTGGTGCTGAGAGGGAGGACGGTGGTGCAAATGGGCCGTGACTCTGCTCTGTGCCAGCGCAGCGTGGCAGCAAACCCCAGCTTCAGCAGACGACAGGCAGGCACGCAGGCACAGCAGATCCAACAGCTCTCATTCACTCTCCTCCTACTCCTCGCTCTCCTCTATCCCATTGCACTGACTGCTACCTCTCTCTCTCTCTCTTCCCTCTCCTCATACACACACTGCGCCTCCTGCATACCAATGAGGCAGGGGAAGGAGGTGGCCTCTCTCTTCCAATTGGAGAAGCGGAAGGAGTGGCCATGGGCTGCGGCTCCTCTCCTCACTACAAGTAAAAGACGTCTCAGGGAGGGAGTAGGGGATGGGCTCTACTGCGGCTTTGCGCTTACTACTGGCACAGAACACCCCCCCCCCCCCCCTTTCCACACACATGTCTGGTATGTTACACACACACACACACAAACCCACACACTGTAAACAAGACAAAAGCGACTAATACACAAGCATATGGTGAAATCCTAACCATGTGATGATTGTGTTAATTTCAGTGTTACAGAAGACAAAGGAGATGAATGACATGAAAGATCATATAAAACTACTGATGATATCTACAGCACTGTTGGCCCCCAAAGAAAACTATAGGCTACTTTACCCCCCTTTATATATCTGTGCTAATTGTAAGCACATTGTATGCACTGCTGCACAATCAACGCACACTCCCACCGCCAACACACATGCACATATAACATAAAAACTGAATTAAACTGAAGACCAGAGTCCTCAATAAGTCCTCAATAGAATAGTTCATTATAAGTACTACCAGAACAATGGCTCTTTTTAGAGACTGGCATGCAGGTAGCAGAGCGAGAGGGTCAGAACATACACTGAACAAAATTAGTCCAGCCCAAGGCACACCTTTGCAATACCCATGCTGTCTGATCAGCATATTGATATGCCACACCTGTGAGGTGGATGGATTATCTCAGCAAAGGAGAAGTGCTCACTAACACAGATTTGGCCAGATTTAGTGAAAAATATTTGAGAGAAATAGGCCTTTTGTGTACATAGAGAAAGTCTTAGATCTTTGAGTTCAGCTTATGATGAATGGGGGCAAAAACAAAAGAGTTACGTTTATAATTTTGTTCAGTATACAAATTATGAAAAGGAACTTGTTACTGCTGGTGTGGGCGGCCGGCAGTGGCTTGTGCTTTTTGTGTGATTTTAGTGAAATTGCCTTTAAAAAGGGGTTTTCTTCCTGCAAAAATCCGCAGTGACTCCTCCTCCTCCTCAAGACAATTGCGAGGATGGGGAGGAAGCAGCGAGGGGACGTAAAATCTTAACTCATAAAAAAACAGAAAGAAAGTGAAACAGCCTTAAACGCCCCTGAGCAGAACTGTGGCTGGAGAGGTCGTCAGGGTTGCGACCTGGTGACGACTTGTGGCTGAAGCAGGGGTGTTTCTTGTCCTCCACACTGTTTCCTGTGAGATTCACCACCAGCAGTGTAACTCACCGTCTGGCTTGGTGACAAACAGTGCCTCTGCCTGTTTAAGTGTCATTATTGCACCCGATGTTCGGTTTCATTTTCTTACAGGTGCGAAGGTTTAGAAATTCTACTCAATGTGAGGAAGATTTTAAATATATCTGGACCTACTCATCACAGCAATATGTCCTGTGGGGGCTCAGACTGAGGCTGCCCACTATATGAAGCCACCTGTAACTGCTGCATTAGTCCTAATGGACTGGGCCCTAGGCCACCTTGAGCATGGCAGAGCTCCCATACTTTCCCTTTTTCACCTTCTATTATGCCCACCTGACACACTCTTGTTTAAACTGAACCTTTATAATGAACCAGGGCTATAGCAACCAGGATTTCCCTTCTCTGTGAGGAAGGACTGAAGTCACTCCATGGGATTCTTTGTTCAGCTACTAATCAATGTTCAGAATTAATTTGTCTCTGCAGTTGGGAGCAAGAATAAGACAAATCTAATTAAAGATCACCGCTGGACGATTTGCAAACTGCAATAAGTGAAACAGACTGAAAGAACAGCCAAAATGAAACTGGATTCAGCTGTTTCCTTGGTAACCTCAAATGATTCCCATCAAACAAAGATAGACAAGTACCGTGAACTAATAGAATAAGTACAGTAAGAAAATAAAGCAGAAAACCCTCTTTAAAAAAGTGCTGTTTGAATAACGTCAGCACAACACAGTCTTGGCACTGTTTTTAAGAAAGTCAACATGAATATAACACTATTCAATCACACACTATCAAATGAAAATGCACAAATGGCCTCAGTGGAGCACAAATAGCACTAGAAGCAGGTAAATAGCATTCACGAATATGAATAAGATGCCAACTGGGCTCACAGCCCCACTGGGGGTCATGCCAGTATCATTGTTTCCATTACACCGCCACCAAGTGACATTACCCAGATGACTGACAGAGCAAGATAAGCCTCCAGTGAAATACGGTCTCTGCTAGCCTGAAGCGTCCCCAACGGGATGGTCTCTCTTGAGCCTGACTAAACCCTTCATGTTCTATTCAGCCCTGTTGGATGGATACAGACGGCAGGGCTAACCCAGGCAGCATGCTCCTCTTTTAACAAGGCCTGAGAGCAGCAGACAAAACACTGGTCCAGCCTGTGTGTGAGAGCGGGGGGAGAATAACAAGGCCTTTCAGGGAGACAGAAAGGCACATTAATTAGACCGCCAGTCTGCCCTCTATCCCCACCAGCTTAATGACCTCGAGGTCCATAAGGCAGGTGTTTATTTATCGGCGTCTGCATGTGGATAGTTGTGTTTCTGTCTGTGAAACGGATGGTAAGAGGAAGCTATTAATGCATGCCTTAAAGGTCTGAATTTAGTGTCTTAATTATACACTATGCCAGAGTTTTAGCATGAGTGGTGCATGTATGCAGATTTATAAAGCAGTCGCCTAATGTACACCACATACTGTATGTTTATGCAAACTGTAGGGATTTCTTAGGATGGGTTGCACCAACCAGAATTAAATCACTGTTTATCATACATTTCTGTTGCACCAAAGCTTTCTTTAATTCAGCCTTGTTTCTCTGTCTAGACTTCGATGTTCACAAAATAAGGCTCTGTGGTGTATTCAATTTGGATAGTTATTTCAATGTCAATTTCAGCACTGACAAAAGAGCGCACAGGGCTGCAATGTCAACATCTGGGAGTTATAAATGTGGTAGCTGTCACATATCTGTCTTTGCAGCAAATTCTTCAAAAATACAATCTGGCAACCTCTCAGTACTTGATCAAAGTTAAAATCTAGATGGTCTAAATCTAAAATTAAGTAGATAGTTGGTACCTTACCCCTGAGAAATTAGGAAGAGAGACATAAAGGCATTCCTAAAGAGCAGAGTTTAGTTTTTTTTTGTAATCTTGGTGTTGCTGAAGATGAATTTCCTTGTGTGTTTCATTGCCTCAAGCGCAACTACTTGAGGAGTCTGCCAGAAAAGATTCAGTTAAAGAATCCAGGTTGTTTTGGTCGTCTAAAGCTGATATGTTGACATCTCTTGTTAATGAGATTTTTGTTTTGCAAAGGTTTATAGAACAAGACAGACTAGATTCATCATTTGAAATGCCCTCTCTTTGAATGTGTGGAACTGTATGGTACGATCTGTCATGTGATCATCTTGGTTGTTTTGTAAGCCCATTTGAGCTGGAAACCATTTGGTGCATTTGGTGCTTAAATAAACCAACCAGTCTTTTTTTATATAAATTAAGGAGACAACTTATTTTGAAGGATTTCTGGGACTGGAACTAATAAGGTGAATTAAAATAGATGGCGCTTCATACTCGAGCCGTAGAATGTTAAGCAGTAGTGATTGTGCAAAAGAGGGAATCACCCGCATGATGAAAACCGGCAGAAAAATGAATCAGGTCGCTGAATGACACAGATTTAGTCCAAACTGCTCCACATAGAAGATCTCTTGGGGATGGAAATGAGGATGAAACAGGGATAGAATTTAAAAGATCAAGGAAAAGCAACGGGGAAATTGAAAAGAATGACAGGTGTATTAGAATTTCTGTAAAACTGCTGATTTGAATTCACAGGGGAACCACACTTTCAGCCCCGTCTCCGGCAGTATTCACATCTCATCCCAAACATCAACAGCTATATTTGACATTATTGTGTCACAGCGCCACTTCTAGTTCTGAGCAGCTCCCTGAGATTGGGAGTCAGAGCAGCAATATAAAAGTATGGAGAGACCTCTGGTGTCTAAACATGCAGTTGCAGCCTAAACCAAAGGAAGTCCTGTAGGCCGACAGCCACATAAACAAACCACAGAGTATCCAAGGGGTGCTCACCAACCAGTCCCACCTAACTTAACCTGAACTAATCAGAGCTCACCACTACTGCACTATATTTAGACCATGTTTAGTATATAACACAACTTGTTGTCTTTAGTAACTACATTTACTGTTCTGTTTCCACTTTTATTCTTTCCATTATCTAATATATAATAATATACACAGTTTGACACAAATATATAACCTCAGTTTGTGTAGCAGCACTAATTACATTTAAGATCAAATGGACAGCAAAGAACACAATGAATTACTTGTATCTAAGCTGCTACTGTCTGATAGAAGTCACTACTATACAGTATGAATGGATTCTGATCAAAATACATCTGCTTGCTTTTATAAATTTGTCAATTGCTGTGCATAAAAATATACTGAGAGCACGGATCATAAAAACTATTTCTATCATTGTTGGTTTGTTTGACATTATAACAGAACACAAAGTAATATAAAGAAATTGCCCCTTTATGAAATGTGTCTCTGTGTTCAAAAGACAAATGTTTTATAGTTTCTAACTCATTTTTGTAAAGAAAAATCACAATTATACACACACCTCACATAATAGACGGCTTCGGTTAAGTGGTAGCCTGTTGCAGCAGCTTGTGTTACTCATGTACACTGAATAAGTCTCCAAGTATTAAAGGGGCAAGGGTTAAAGTCAGGATTAGGGCTAAATGTGGCATCCTTGAACAGCAGTGTGTCAGAGTCAAATCAGATGCTAGCTTGTGGTCAGTATGTCACATGTGTAAATATAGTTGTACAAACTTCGTTTTTAGCATTAATACAAATGTAATAACTGACTATCTTTTAATTGAGCACCTGTTTAAAAACTCCCCTTTTAACTGTTTGATTAAAATGC